CTTAGTCCCTTTTGTCATCTCTCCCTGGTCCGTGTGTCTACCTGTCATGTTTCATGTCTCTGGTTAGGTTAAGTTCATGTTCTATCTCCATGTCTATGTCTCTGTGTTTCCTGTTTTATTTTGAAAGAGTCTGGCGTTCTTTGTTCATTGTAGTTAGTGTTACTCTCTCCTGTATCGTCATTATGTTTCCTTCTAGTCAGCTGTGTACTTCCCCTGATCACCTCATGTGTGTATTTAAGTCCTCAGTCTTCCTTTGTTCGTCGCCGCGTCGTCTGTTCAACTTCCCCCATGTTACGCCAGGCTTCAGGACTCTGTGCAGAGTCCTGTTCACAGTTGCCTCCGTCATGTGCGTCATTGTCACCCTGTCTTAGCCTTCCCTGCTGTCTGAGTTAAGTGTCAGTTCTTAGTTTTCTCAGTTCAGCTTCTAGTTTAGTTTTGTGCTTTCTGTTGTTTGCCACGTTAATCAGCCCAAATAAAGGCTCGCTTTTGGTTTCAAGTTCGGTATTCTCCTCGTCTGTGTGGAACCTCCCACTCCCACACTCGGTCTGCCCACCGCAGACCGTGACACATTTGATCTTCGTACATCAAAATGGAACTTAAAACACTTTTTTTCTATTTATTTGTATCTACATTACTGAAAAAATAAAAAAATATAAAAAATTTATTAAAATAATTGAAAATCTATGTTGTAAAGGAAAAATTTCCTGGAAAAAAGAAATTATCTGGGATGCAACAATGAGTACTCTGACAGTACTACTACTACCCCGATATAGACTGTCAGATGTCAGAGTCGCCCCTTGGAGGCTCAAATGGAGTGAGACAACTCTGACAACTAAAATCTAAAATGTGACAAATTTGTAGTTTTATTTGTAAAAGTAAAGAAGCTTTTAGGATCGCTGTTCTGTTGACACAAAGATGAAATAAGTCAAAAGAGGATTAAAGCTCCGGGTCTGGAAAGTGGTGGAACTACTCTGTGACACAGGCTTTGATCTCGCTCTCAGCTTTCTCAGCGAGGATAAAAAAGATGAAAATAAGAGCTGAGGGTATGCTGTGGGACAAGTTGTGTTATATCAGCATCTATAGAAGCACAAACGGACACGTCCTGGAGTTCAGTGTCACGTTATCACAGAGGATTACATGTAAACGTCAGCAGCTGTCTAAAACCTGAAGACTCTTTAATGTCACACGAGCAGAAAGCAGACACTACAAACCTCTTACAGCATTAGAATTCATGAGAGGCTCTCTTGGGTCATCATTTTCAACTTTAATCCAAAAGACAAAGAAGTCCATCCAATGCCAACAAAACTTAATGCATGTATATAATAAAGCCATGACAACAGTATTTTCTACAAAACCAGAAAGTAGTGCCACTGTGGATCTGACACTCACAGGACGCTTAGACAGGAGAGAGCTTCAGGAACAAATACTCAAAACAGAAATACTGGCTGCAGCCAACAGGAGCACACTCGAAATGCAGCCCACTAACTTACTTTGGCATCTTTAAATTACGGTTAAAACTCTTTAAAAAAAAGAAATTAGGTGTTTTTTCTATGTAGCGTCAGAAAAATGTGAGGAAAGTTAGATCGAGACCACAAACCTGACACAATTATCAATAATTTAATTTTACCTCAGGGTAACGAGACTGCTGCAAGCTCAAACTAATAACAAGAACAAAGGAAGACGACGAGAGGCTACTGGGGAACCAAGTCCACACAAATATAGCACCTCATTGTACTTATACAGGTACCTCGATCTGTCGCTAGGTACTGCTGCTACTAGGGGCGCTTTTAGCTTCGCTTCCTGTACCTTACAAAGATAAGTTTTCATTCTGTACCTTCATACAGTACTACAGGGTTTAAATAGTGCAAACGTGCAAAATATAAAAAAGTAAGAGAGATGGAAATGGAAATATACAGCTCAGAGTGCTGAAACATTTCATGTCATGTTTTTACAAAGACTATAAAATGCAGTATTGTATTCAATGGCTAAAGAAAAGTACAAGAAGCTAATAAACTAAAAGGATTCATATTACGTTTATGGACGCTGCTCTTTGCCAGCCAGCTCTCATATCTCAGATTTTGTGTTTCACAAACATTTAACAACACAGTACATCAGCGGTAGACCTTTCCAATTGGTCTGCAAATTGTTTTTACCATACAGTGAGAAGGTAATTCTGCCAAAGGGGAAAACGACAATGATTCAGTGTCAGGCTTTCAGCCAGGAAACGTATTAGACCCAGCGACTGCGACGAGAGAGATTCTGTGCTAATAAATGTCGCACTTGTTTCACTTAGTGGTGTCCATCTACTTAACATGAAATGTGCAACGCTTCAGAGAGAACAGTGAGAGGAGGGAAGAAAGTAACGTCTAAATATAGAATAGAGAGCTCACCGGATCCCAGTTGGCCGTGTCCACATTAAAGTGATGAATAGTTTAGTCTGCCATGTTGAGTGGACATAGATGAAAAGATATCAGGTGTTTTTGTATGTATAAAAAGAAATCAACAGCAATGAAGGCCTATGTATTAAATAATAATAATAATGGATTGGATTTATATAGCGCTTTTCAAGGCACTTTACAACTCCATTATTCATTCACACACTGGTGGGAGCAAACTACAGTTGTAGCCACAGCTGCCCTGGGGCAGACTGGGTAGGGTAAAGTGTCTTGTCACGGACACAACGACCAGGACAGAGAGCCCGGGAATCGAACCGGTGACCTTCCGGTTACAGTTGCGCTTCCCAGCCTCCTGGGCCACGGTCACTCCGTGTGTGACCATGTTTTTCACATATTGCATTGAAAAGAATAAACCAATCGTTTTGGGTCATGCTGAATAAAACATGAAGTTCATTTTGTAAATTCTGATCATTCTAATTGTCAAAAAGAGGATAACTGGAGTATATTCATTTACATATCATTAACCAAAGCATGCATAATCTTACTAAGACCGATCTCTCACTCATCACATCTATTTTTCAAAGACCAAAGTGATGACAGAAATGCTCATCTCTATGCTGTTAGTGTCTCTGGGTGTTACTATAGGTACATTCTCCTTTATATTATCTATGGTCAGAAGCAGATCAATGAAAAAGCTACATTATTGTTGCATGCACATACACTCACCAGCTGCTTAGATACAGCTGTTCAAACTGAACATCACTGCAAATAATCTGATCAGATCGAACGGCAGCAGTTCAACATGTGATAAAGACAGCCTGCTTAAGTCCTAATCGAGTACCACAACGGGAAAGAAATGTGTTTTAAGTGATTCCAAACATACAGGGTTGTTTGCGCCAGATGGCCTGAGTCCTGTCAGCTAAGAACAGGAAAGTCTGGATACGGTTCACACAGACTCACATAAACTGGACAGCAGAAGATCATAAGAATATTGCCTGGTCGAATCGTGGCGTTCAGATTGTAGGCTCATAATTTTGTATAAACAACATGAAAGCATGGATCCATCCTGCCCTGCCTTCAGGTTGGTATTGGTAGTTTAATAGTGTGGGAATATTTTCTTATGACACTTTGGGCCCTTTAGTAGCAACTGAGCATAAATCCTACATTGTACCTGAGAGTTGTTGCTGATCATGTGCATCCCTTTATGAGCAGCAGAATGTAACACAAGTCACAAATTTCAAACTGGTTTCTTGAACATGACAGGGAGTTTATTGCACTTAAATGGCCTACACAGTCACCAGATATCAGTCCAATAGAGCGTGGGATGGGGTGGAATAGGGGATCTGTAGCAACTGTGTGATATTATCATGTCAACGTGGAGTTTTCTGCACCTTGATAATGCTATGCCATGCAGGATTAAGGGAGTTCTGAAGGCAAAATGACATCCAACCCAGTAGTAACGAGGTATACCTAATAAAGAGGCATGCAAGTGTATGGTCGAAATGAGCACAATTTGTTTATTTTAGATGATAAAATATAAAAATGTACATCTTTATATTATTGTGTATATTTCCAGTTTTTGTGTTTTTATCTGTTGTACAGTGTCCTTGGGTGCTTTGAAAGGCGCTATTTTTAAATAAAATGTATTATTATTATTATTATTATCTTTAGCAGTAAATTTCTACACAAAACATACAGAAATATGTCTTCAAAAATATGATGAAATAATACAGGATGTGTGTATAACCCACGATCCACAGACGCTGCTGGAACAAACAGAAATGCAGAGCTGCTGGTGTTGTGAGTTGTTTTGAGCAGCTGAGCAGATCATTTAATTACTTAATAATCAACCAATCCACTTGCGGAGATCTAGTGAAGCTCCCGTTCCCATGGTGACAGAGCACAGAGATGAGTGGAAGTGCACGAGGGGAGGAGCGACATGAGGAAGTAGCTTCATTTTAGCATGGCTGAGCTATTTTTAGTGACGTGTCCTGGGTTTTCAGCCGCTGTTGCACTTTAAAGCAAACTCCACAGTCACAAGCAGACATCACTCCACCTCTTCAAATATGTAAACTCAACCAGGAAAGGACTGGAAACACTTGCAGACTAAGCCCACTTAAAGTCATCAGCTATTATTTATATAGCTTTCTTATTTATGTAAACCTGAAAAACAACAAGCATATTTCTAAATAAATTGAAGATAATCTCTCTCCCTGTGTGTGTGTGTGTGTGTGTGTGTGTGTGTGTGTGTGTATATATATATATATATATATATATAGTTAGGTCCCTGGTTCAGGACTATAGCCCTGCTTGGGGTTATTATCATGGCACACAAAAATCATCCAATATGGAAAATTATATAATTCTGCTACAGAAAATATTAAATACTCTTTGATAAAACATCACTTCACATATTTGGGGCTGTAATAAAATGTTACATAGCATCACATTTTTCATTAGCTGCTCCCTGACAGCTCAACGGGTCAGAAGCATGACAAAGATATGGTGCATCTCCAGGATCAACTCTGACCACTGAAGCAAAGCTCATCGGTGGTTAACCACGGTAACTATGTGTGGAAATCTACGTGTGGCTCGGCTTTCTGGCATAATCCCCTTAAACACGCTGGTCCCAGGTGTGGACAAACTGTTTAGCTGCAGCGAAGGTTTCAGGGCGATATTTATCACAGTGTTTTAGGAACAACACAAACACGCCGATATCTGATCTTGCACACAGAATGTAAAGCTATTTCACTTTGTATGTTTCTTATCAAGGTTTAAATGACAAGTGAAATTCTTCACTCCAGTCTAAACATTCAGACTGGAGAACAAAGCACTGCTCAGGATCCTGCATTTGCCTACTTTCTTCTATTAGTACAGTCAGTATCTAGGATAATATTACAATATTGTACAATAAAATAGCCAAACATGTTTCTTATCCTGACAAAATCAGAGCACCTGTATTAAACAATGTATTTTATGATGCTGCAAAAATCAGATTTCAGAATTGTTTTTTCCTGCACTGACTTTAAAGAGCCACTGAAACTGATGTATTAGTTAACCCCTATTGAGGAGGGGGGATTACAGAAGACCTTCATCATTAATAAAAGTGTAGCTATAAGCAGTAAAGCTGCATTATTAGGCTTTCTGATTTTACAGAGGCTGTAATGCCCCCATTGTCGCCAGTCTTCAGCTTTCCTAATGTTGTGAGGCTGGAACAGTTTAACTGAATGGGAAACGAACAAAGCATGTCAGCCACCACCGAGGATGTCAAGTCTCCTGTAGCCTGTCCTATGTCACACCGCAGCAAATAAGCTGCTGGCACCTCTAACACACCTGTGACTGTTAATAAGCAGGACAGGTTGTCTGTTGTTAAAAGCTCCGCGTATTACAGATTCACCATATTGGAAACATTACATGAATATGAATGCAGATGTGCTATTTGTCCTTTGTTACCCAGTCCCTTCCAGTCTCTCACCTCGTCTCCTTGACCGAATTGAAGACCGAGGTCCATCAAGTGCTCCACCCGGATGAAGCCGTCAGCATCCTCGTCACAGACGTCGAAAACCTCCTTGAGCCTCCTCAAAAACTGTAGGAGCTGTTCTTGTTCGGGAAAGACACGTCCTTCCATTATACGGGCTTCGTGCTGCACACACACACACAGCTTATATTCTGGTTTTCCTCAATCAAACGGACTGTAAGACACCGACTCCGACGGTCGCCATCACCATCCCAGCCTTCAGCTCCGCCGGACCGACTGGTACCGCTACTGTTATACAAGCAGCGCTGCACGCTCAAGAGGCGCGAGGAGTGTCGGAAATACGCGACGATTTACGAGTTCGTCACGAGGCATTACGTCACAGGCCAGTTGCTAATTCATAATCCAGGTGCGCTGTCACTTTCCTCCCGCTTTTGACGACAATGTATAAAACTGTATGGAAGCCCAGTTTGGCCAATAATAAAAGAACTATATGACACACAAGATTGAAATACTCAATCATACCACATGAAAACTAAGCAATAACAATATTTAATTAATATTGGGAAACAAAAAAGTCGACTTAATTTAAACAAAATTAGTATAATTAGTATAAATTAACATAAATATTAGCTACTATAAGTGAACTCTGAACTAACCACGTCGTAAAAATAATTTTTAGTATATGACTGGCTTCCAGAAAACTGAATAAGAAAACTTAATTAATGTATTATTTGGAAACGGTGATATTTCAAGTGGACAAATACTGCTCAAAAAATTAAAGGAACACATAAATCACCGGTTGGATCTAGATGAATGAAATGTTCATCTTGAAAACCTTCACTGATGTACATTAGGTAATTTGTTGAGAATAAAATGACAGCAGTCAGTGAAAACACAATAATTGTTTAAGTGCTGGATTTGAGGGGGAAAAGAAAATCACAACAGTTAAAGTTGAAAAGTGTGTGTTTTGTTAATTATCAGCATAATTACATTTTAGGTTAAACACTTTTTCTAAATTAATTCTGAGCAAGGTCTTTTTGTTACAAAATAAAACCGTCAGATAATGAATACGCAAAATATTATTTTGTGGATAACACGCTAAAATTTTGCCCTCATGTGTGGCTGAGGATGCAGTTTTTTATTGGAAAAACAGTTTATACAAGACTTATCACAGTCACATCTCTGTACAAAAAATAAAACCATTACAGTGTGCCCCAGTGCTTAAAATCATTACTCATCCCTTCAGCTGATTTAAGCATAAAAACCATTTCATCTCTAAACCCAGTTTAAACAGAACTGTTAAAAATGTGCTAACAGAGAAGCACAGATAAGAAAGTTTAAATGGACCAGAATCAAAACCATTGGATGTTTTAGCTTTTAAAAGATAAGTCCAGGTCATTAAAAAAATAACTATTTAACTTTTTCTCAAACTTAAATGATGAGTCTTGGCTCCAGCAGAGACTCCCACCGTTCTGTCACCTATGAGAAGAAAGTGAACATGTTACTTTAAGGACTGGTCAAGCCAGATTTATTTATGCAGCACAATTAAAAATAAGAGCTGTGCAGCTAAGAGAACAGAACAATGTAAGACAATAAATTCAATCATGTCTACGACGATGTAGGCCAGCGGGCAAACACTGTGTCTGAGTCTGACAACACTGGAGCACCACAAGGGACTGTGCTCTCGCCTTTCCTATTCCCCTTCTACACCACAGACTTCAGCCACGGCACAGAGACCTGCCATCTTCAGATGATGGTTGTAGGATGGTAGCTGGATGCATGAGTGGGGGCAATGAGACAGAGTACTGGGCTGTGGAGAATCATCTGCAGCTCAACGTGACAAAGACCAAGGAAATGATTGTGGACTTGAGGAGGACCAGGAAACCAGCGAGCCACGTTTCAATCCAGGGGGTCGAAAATAAAACTTGTAACCACATAATTTTCACAGGGATTAATAAAGTATTCTGATTTTGATCTATTCGGAGTGTAAAGGCTTTACAACAACCAAAACAGCACTTACCCATGCAAAGACTTAAAAACAAACAGTAAAACCTTAAAGTCAATCTCAAACTGACTGGCAGCTAGGACGAGTGATATGTGGTCCTGTTAACTCATGAAAAGAGAGAAATGTCTAAAACAATCAGACCTTTTGGGGGTTTTGGGGGAAAAAATAATAATTTATTTATTTATTGGGGGGGGGGGGGATAATGAATAAAGTAACATGATCTAATGTATGTAATGTAAAAAGGGTGATAAAGGGTCACACCCACAGAATTATCACCCTACTCAGCATCCATATATATATCTTTAGCCTCTTATCTCATGGTTTTATTTTGCTCTTATCAGTGTCACATTCAGCAGCAGCAGATTTACTCAAGTAGCTCTGATAAATCTGCTTTTAAAGCACACCCACACTGGCTTTACTTTTACACTACCTGTGGCTTCAGAGGGTTATTAACAGCATATAAAGTCTTACCCAAGACCCTCTGGACACAGCATACTCCACCCTCTCGGAGCCATCTGGATTTTGATAGACTAGATCAAATTTTCCAGGTTCTACGGAAGCTTTGGAAGAAGCAACAAGTTAGGAATCATTAGAAACGTTAATTCTTAAATCTCTTAACTTCTTCTGAGAAACTGTTCAGTTCTCTGAAATTAAAAAGATTTTTGCTGTATTGTATTATATATCACTACCAGTGACATGACCAGTTTGTTAGTTGTAACTTTCAAAGGTGCTGACAATTCAAAGACATCAGGAGTCGTCTTTTACATTTTGATATAATTACTTACATGATACATTATTTTTAAAAAGGCATGATTATACACAGTTATGATGTATGCCTGATCTCCTACCTTGAGAGACATTAAGGAGTTCAAGTTCAATCTGTCTGTTGATTGGGTCAAAGCTCACGATCTTTCCCTCCTAATATAAACAGAACCATAGTTGGTCATAGAGTACGAATGACAGTTTATAGCATAGTCTGTATTAAATAAGCTTTTATTAGTAACATCATTCCAAGGTTGTGATTAGGTCATCACAACTGACTGCACTCACCTTGTATTCAGATACCTGTGGTGTGTAGTTTTCAGTTAGCTCCAGCAGCTGCATATAAACACATAGAATTAGGAAATTAATGAAATTCACTTTTTTATTCACACATTATTATTTATATAGCTTCAAATCACAACAGCAGTCGCTTTAAGGGGGCTTTATTCTGTAAGGCAGAGGCGCTACAATAACACAGAGGAAACAAGAGCACTCTGACAGCGCCACTCCCCTCGAAGAGCGAGGGCTGGAATCCATCTGTGATGCTTTATGATGTTTTTATTACAATGCATCAGAGAGCAACTTAATATCTTCCCCAAGGAAATTTGACATGAAGCAGCCAGCCATGTATTTATTTTATTTTTATTACAATATGCCCTCATAATTATAATATTACCCTGCTTTTATAACAACACACTGATGTCTGACCTTTGACCTTTAAGCATTACATACTAAAATGATGTATTTTATTATCTTTACCAATATAATTGAAGCAGAAATGGTCGAAATCTTTGGTTTCAATAAGCTGAAACAATGTGAGTGCGGCAGGGTGTGGTTTGTGGCTCAGCCGCAGGGTGGAGCAGCGGGTTCAGGGTGCAGTGTCAGGGGAGTCTGACACACGCCTGAGCTCCATCATCTAGCCATGGCTCCCCGTTAAAAGACGTGCTGGGACCTGAGGTGGGAGGTGTGTGTGCTATAAGCAACTGCAGGCAATTATGGGCAAAATAACCACTGGCAGGGCTCTAGACTAACTTTTTGCCATGGGTGCACCTTTAAAAAGTTAGGCGCACTCAAATTTTTCAACTGCATCGCTTAACACCGCAGTTTTACATATGCACTTTTTTGGGGGGGAATTTATTTCTAAATTATTAGTGCATTTATTGCAGCATATAATGCGTTTTCTGGATACACTGTGCTTTTTCAGCATTCAAAGATTGATGGCACCGTGTCAGAGCACTGGCTATGAATTTCAGACAGATCAGGCCTTAACTTAACAAAAAGGTTATCAATAGTTCTTTTCATCTTTTCTTATTACCCACAGCTACATCCACTTCTGTCAGGCCTAGGCTGCTCACTAGGGCTGGGTATCATCACTGATTTCTATAATCCATTCGATTCCGGGTCTCAAAGTCCTGATTCTATTCAATTTAGCCTCAGACAGTCAGAAATATTATAATTCTGATCATTTATCAGTACTGATACATGTGAGACTTCATCAGAATTGTGAACATCACAGCAGATGCCTTTGTGTGAAAGTAACTAAGAATAAAACACAGAAAAACATGAAGGAGATTTTTCTGGCCTGGCTTTTTATAGCAGATAACCGTCGGTGAAGTTTGGTTGGAGAGAGACAAAACCTGCAGCTCAGAATCAGCGCAAAAAGACGTAAACACAGAGCGGACCCAACGCATCAGAATCGCTGAGCTCCGACAGCGTGTCCGCCTACGGGCCGTCGGGTGACAAAGCCGAGAAAGAGAAAGCTGATTCTGATGCGTCGGGTCCGCTCTGTGTTTACGTCTTTGTGTGGAGTCCGTTAACCTGCTCTCATTTACTGTTTGGTTGTTGTTGAAATGGTTTTGTGAGCTTTAATCTGAGAATCTGGCATTTCTGGCAAAACACATTTATATTTAAAAGTCAATTCAGGATTTAATGAATCGATATCGCTTTATTCAAGCTACTCACCTCCCACTTCCAACTGGACCATGGCCAATCAGAGAGGTCCCGCCCCTGACTATCTCTGATTGGTTTAGTCCATGATAGGGGCATAATGTGTGTCTGTTGTTGACCACACGGAGAGGTGCAGAGATTTTTTTTTTGTTACCCGAACAGTTGGTCGCAGTGGTGCGACCCAATATTTTTTTTAGTCGCACCATTGGTCACACTCTAGAGCCCTGACTGGTGATCCAAAGTGGACAGGATAAACAATCCTCAGTTTCCAGGTGAACAATTAAAGGACTACCTATGAAAAAAGCTGAAAACTGTTGATTGACTTATGAGCTACTTAAATATATTAGTGGGTTACCTAGGCAACTGAAATACTCAAAGGTGACCTGCCATCAGCTTCAGAGATATGGGCAACAAATTAACTGCTTCCAGTGTGGATGCAGTTTTAAACAACATAAAAAGCTGCTAATAATGGGTTCACAAACATCTTTGTAAAACATGGTTCCTAATTCTTAGCGACTGCTACCCATAGTGGTTAGCTTCTGAACCACTGTAGCTAACGAGCTAGCCTTTAGCTAGGCAGGGCAAACTGCTGCTATTCAGTCACAGCAGCTTTTTCGACTTCTCTATAAAGAGTTGCAGAGGAGAAAAAAAATGCCAGAGGCTCACTAACAGTGTATTTGCTTAGAGAACACTGGATTTAAACATTACATAAAATACTGCACTGTAAGATAAACTCATGGCTTATATGTCTGTGAAGCATTTTGATTTTTCACATAAGTTTACACCTGAACAGAAAATCTTTGACAACTGTCCCCCCGCCCCAAAGTTAAGCTAATTTTGAGTGTTCTACAGTATATTAGCTACAACAGTGTACTACAGCTGGATGTTGAAAAAACAAGGTACAGAAAAACCACGCAAACTTGGAAGAGTTGACCTGATTTGTACAAACTGAAATGGCTTGCAGTGGACAGATGCAAGGTCATCGATGGCTACATCCTTGTGCATTAAAGAGGGAGTATGCTGTATTGTAAGAGGGCTGATCAGCTTGTTTCACTAACTCATCTACAGAAGGCAGAGGGTACAGCAGATTTAGTCGTTTTTTTCAAAATAAAAGTATGACATTATTCTCAAAATCATCAATAGTATTTTTTTCTTAGTGTAGCCCTAAAACTCCTTCAGAACAACACTATGAGGGCTGAT